CTGCCAAGGTTGATAACCACTGGGTTAGAGGATTTTAATTTCTTTCCCTGGCGGTCACTTAACTCCATAAATGAATGAATGAATGAATGAATGAATGAATGAATGAATGAATGAATGAATGAATGAATGTTTTATGGAATATTCCTTTGACTTCAAGCTGCTTGCAAAGGGCCGTGATTGGGGGTCACCAGGCTATAGGCCCCGAGAGGTTTTATCCCTCTAACTGATTGGGTGACTTGCAAGCATTCTAGTTCCTAATAAGACTGCCAACCCTGCCTTTCGGTTTATTTTATAAACATCCGACCACTCCTGCAGCTCCCTCTGCTTGGATCTTTAATATAAAACAGGAAGCTGGAATTCTTTCGCCTGGCCTGGCAGTTGTCTTCCTGTCCTGCCAAATAAATGCCAAGCCTCCACGATGAATGCATTTTAAGGTGATACAAGGAAACTCTGGGAAGAGGGCTCATTCAATGCCATCTGCGCTTGAATGTCTCCCTCTTAAGGCAGAGACTCTTTCTGAAAACTAGAACAATAGATGCCTTTGGGCTACAGGGTTGGTCACACACAGGATTAAAGCATTCTGGAGCAATTCTGGCCTTTCAAAAATGTGACCGGATTATTTTCTCTGATGGGCTGCAAGGATGCTTCAGTAAAGGAGTAGTAAAGTCTGTGTGGAGGACAAGGGAAGATCACTTTTGCCAAGCCAACTGGTCACATGGAAACCATGTGAGATACTGCTCAGTGACAGGGAAGCTGCTGAAAATTCCCTTTCTGAGCTCTAGTGAAATTGCTAAGTCAGGGACCATAAGCAGGCTAAAGGGTAAACAGATGTGGTCCCACCAGGACCAAACTTGGGTGGGCTGAAATCTGCTGTCTGTGACTCAGAGCATCAGCAGAGACCAACTCTACTGCACAAACTCCATCCTTGAAAGGTGCAGAGGATGTGCGGCCTTGTGCAAGAGAACTTCCTTGCACTCTTCTTAACAATGTTTTTCAAACTTGGTAATTTTAAGATGTGTGGACTTCAACTCCCAGAACCTTCAAGTTGCCAAGGTTGAAAAACACTTTCTTTAACATGTTTAGCTCCAGAAAGGTGTCCCCCTGGGACCCTGAGAGGACTAGGGATCACACACTTTCCTCTCTCTCACTTTGCCCAGATTTCCTTTTCTGAACAATGTGAAGATTTTCTTCTTCCCTTTCAGGCTCTTATTCTTTATGCATATTCTTTTTTTAACCTACATAAAATGTCTGATCCCCAAATCTACTGTACAGTTTTAACTGATATAATTTTGGACATTTGGACAGTATTTGGATGCAGTCAAAATTCTTCAGGTGCACTGCTCAGTCACTATCCTTATATTAAACATACATTATTGCTGTTGTTACAGGTCGGAGAGATTGAGAACCCCAGACCAGGTGGATCGTTGGAGGAACTCAAAGGGCCCTGTTTCTTCCACAGCATCTCTAACCAAACAGGACAAAGGAAGAGAACCCCATAATTAATCAGGGGCAGTACTACAATACAGAAAATACTTTGTTAACCTAATGCCTTCCAGATGTGTTGGACTACAACTCCCATCTTCTCCCAGTGGTTGACTCTGGAATGTTTCGGTGCTGATTGGGAAAAAAAAAAAAGTTAGATTCCTAGCCGGGATCAGAAGAAATCTAACCTCAGCGTCATTCTTTCACAGAGCTTCCTTGTCTTAATGGGGGAAGGAATAATTTTTAAGCTGGTTCACCCTGTTCAGCCTCAGAGGCACGGTTCGTAGCAAGATCAACGTTTTTCCAATGCATCTTTGACCAACAGCCAAGATTGCTGAGAGCTCCTGGTGTGTCTTTTTTCGCTTCCTCCTGCCCATGATACGCCAAAAGCACAACTGAAGTCTGTTTTAAAAGGGGAAAAGAGACTTCAGTTGCGCTTTTGGCATATTACTGAGAGGTGCCCGGTTTGGGGCTCTTTTTTGTGTCTTCCCATCAGGGACAGTTGGGGCAGGAACGGAGAGAGGGACTTACCTCTCCAGAGCCCGGTGCAGCCTCTTCCAGCCTCTGTAGCAGCTCCGGTGCTCCAGGCCGCCCCCCATCACCCGGGCCTGCTTGGCGGCCTGCAGCGACCTGGTGTCGAGGATGAAGCCAGGCTCCCCGCCCTCCAGGACGGCGCTCAGGAGCAGCTCATCCTCCGGGCAGCGCCTGCGGTTGGGCCCCACGAGGGGCTGGCTGCTGCGAAGCATCACCTGCACGAGCAGAGGACCAAAACGGATGGAGGAGAGTGAGAGAGAGGGAGGGAGGCGCCCTGGGCAGTGGGGGGCACATCGGTCAGTTTGGGGTTCTCTCAGGGCCACCTTCTGGCCGCCAGTCATGTGCTGCTCGCTGAGCTTGATCTTTTCTGAAAAGCTCACACTGAAATGGAATGTCTTTTGGGGTATGCCTTCCTGGACATAAGCAGGTTTGTTTGTAAGTCTGACTCGTGCCCAGTTTTTGCAAACCACGTTCTGTAATGTAAAGCATTCCGTACAGCTTTCGTTTTTTTTAAGCAGACTTTTCTCGACCGTGTACTTTCTAAAATCACAGCATTGGCGAACTACGTTGCAAAAGTTAGAGAAGTGTGAATTTTGAAGGATAGCTAAGTTTCTGCAAACTGGTCGGAAAATGAGTTCAGAAAGTTCCCCTTCCAGTGCAAACTAAGCACATTTCTGCATTCTTGTGCTGGTTAAGGACCACAATAAAGTCATTTCTTTCTGCATTCTCAATTCCTCAGCAGCACTTGGTCTGTGCTGGCCTGCTGTCTGCTCCGCGATGCTTACATTCCTTATGAGGGGGTAGCAAAATAATCCTGCACAGATTGGGCTTTTGGTGAGGATGACCCAGGCTTGTTTAGAGTATCTGTTGGGTGTGCCAAAGCTCCCTGGTTCAGTTCTCAGCATCTCTTGGTGAAGGTGAGGAGGGTGGCAACTGGAGGGCATGCCTGTCTTCTATCTGGTGCCCTCCAGAAGTGTTGGAAGCTATGAATGCTGGGAGTTTCTAAACATCTCCAGGGCTCCAGGTTGGAGAAGACTGGTGTCATTAGTGCGGAAATGGAAGGCTACTGGTATTCACTAAAGCAGTGTTTCTCAACCTTGGCACGTGGAAGAT